TGATGTTTTAGGAAGCCAATTTGGTTGGTAAGATTTTGATCAATAGTTGCTCTTGTCTGTTTTTATTTAGGATCAGGAATGGAGCAGAAACTTTGATCCCAAACTTCAGAACCTTTTGAGTGAACTAGAAGCTGGCTTGGGTATAGTTCTACGGAGATCAGACACTAACTTATCAAAATTGAAATTTAAGGAAGACGACACACGAGGTATATAACCATAGCTTAATCAAAGAAGGACAAAATGATTGTTTCGGTACTTTCGTAAATGAACGTATTTCTTCACAGGAACTTCTCTGAGCATGGGCTTTTTTTTTTTTTTTTTCCAATGAATAGATTTGTATAGATTTGGAGAAGAGGAAAATATAATCTTTAACAATGTGCAGTTTGTAGAAATAGAGAATATGGTTGATTCTCATTTGCAGTTCTATAAAGTCACTGTGAACACTGAATTAGCCAATTCTGAACCTTTGCTTCTAGGGGAAATACAGGGTTAGGTTCCTTTGAGCCTCTGGTCACAACATTTCATTAACTGATGAATATATAACCTTGTTTTTTGTATGTTTCTGTTTGAAGACACTTTAATATATATTGTTGATTCACTGACATTGACTTCATGGCCAATAGCACAGTAAATTATGCCTGAATGAAGCTTATCTAACACATGTATTTTTTCTGTAAGGCACATCACAACCTTCTTTTGCTTAGGAACACTAGACAGCAATTTTAGCATTATGTTATGGGGCATTTTAACAGCAAAATCACGAAGAAAAAGCATAATAGTATGAAAAACGTGGCACTAAATAGACTGCCAGGACATTTGTTTACAGTATGAGATAGGAAACAAGAAGGTAGAGTGTCACCCTGTTTGACATTAGCTAGGAACATTATTTGTCAGGTGACTCAAATTTTTTGCAACTCTAATATTCTGTATACTTTTTTCTCTCTTCACATTTATAGGTATTCTTACGCCAAGTGATGAGTTCCAGTTTTGGATAGAACAAGCTCATCGTGGAAATAAACAGATTAGTAAAGAAAGAGCCAGCTATTTTAAAGAATTATTTGAAACAATTGCAAGAGTATGTGATTCATACATAGTTACATTTCAG